CTTAAGGCTTTCAACTAATTCCATATTGCCCACCCACATTTATCAAGGATAGCATCCTTTATTTTAAAGTCAACTGATTTTAAATCCCAGCAACTCAGGAGGCTGAGGCAGGAGGATCACAAGTTCAGAGTTAGCCTAGGCAACTTAGTGAGACCCTGTCTCAAAATAAAAAGAGTGAAGATGGTGGGGGCTGGGGTTGTAGCTCAGTGGTGGAGTGCTACCTTGTAGGTATAAGGCACTGGGTTCACTCCTCAGCACCACATAAAAATAAATAAATAAAGTTATAGTGTCCATCTACAACTAAAAGAATATTTTTTAAAAAAAGATGGAGATGTAGCTTAGTGGTAGAGCACCCCTGCATTCAATCCCCAGGGTGGTAAAAAATCAATTGATTTTAGATGTTAACTACATCTATAAAATACCTTCACAGCAACCCCTAGATTTGTATTTGATTAAATGCCTGGGGGCTATGGCTTAATCAAATTGACACACAAAACCAAATATTGCTGTGGCTCTTATGTGGTTAGTCAGATGTAGGCTGAATTGCAGTATTCCAAAGGCTCAAGTGGGCTGAACAGTGCAAGATGACTCACTCCAAAAGCTGCTGACTGCTGCTGGCTGTTTTCTGGGAGCTCACTGGGGCTATGCACTGCATGCCTGCCTATAGGATCCCCCTCCATTGGCTAGGTTCTGAAAGGGTGTTTCCATAGGGTATGTCTAAAGAGCCAGCATTCAAGAAACAGGAAATGGAGGCTACAAAGCCAGTAAATGCCTACACCTAGAACTTATACCACACATTTCCACTGTGTTCTATTGGTGGAAGCAATCACTCCACCCACTCATCATTATGGTTTGGGTGTGGATGTCCCCAAAAGCTCACATGTGAGACAATGCAAGAAGATTCAAAGGAAAAATGATTGGGTTGTGAGAGTCTTAACCTAATTAGTGTAATTAATTAATTCAATTAATTTAGAATTAATCCCCTGATAAGGATTAACTGAATGTAACTGAAATGGTAGGGTGTGGCTGGAGGAGGCAGGAATTAGGACATAGCTTTGGGATATATATTGGTATCTGGCAAGTAGAGACTCCTCACTCTGCTTTCTGATCATCACGTGAGCTGCTTCCCTCTGTCACACTCTTCCACCACGACTTTCCGCCCCACCTCAAGCCCTGAGGAACAGAGCCGGTCTTCTGTGGCCTGAGACCTCTGAAACCATGAGCCCTCAAATACACTTTCCCTCTACAGTTGTTCTGGGTGGGTCCTTTAGTCACAGCATCTACTTCTCAAGGAGAATGGCAAGGCTACATTGCAGACCATATGGGCTGGGAGATAAAGATATGGCCATTTTGGGAAAATACAATGGCTCTTGCAATTTCCATGCACATTGGTTTGCTATCCAGTACCTGCAGCTCTTTGCTTAAGGGCTTTCTTTAGCCAGAGTTGGCTCTGCCTCCTGTGGTGCCAGTGTGAGGCAGAATAAATTAACACCTACCTGCAGTATTGTTCAACCAATGACTGATAAGAGATGGATACTACTATTTCTTATCCCTCAAGCCAGGTGTCTACACTGCCTCCCAGAGTCCCTCTAGTAGAATTAAGTTCCAGTGCAGAAAATGGTAACTTGTGTATTGCTGTTTCCCTTCCTAGTTTTTTTCCTCTACTTCCCCTACTTCCTGAGATGGAGTCTAAAAACATCTACTTACGTTCAAATCTTAGGCTCAGGGCTGTCTTCTGAGAGAACCCAGTTCAAGTTGGTGAGTGACCTCTCCAAGGTCATAAACCTGAGACTTGGGACTAAGATGAGATGACCTCCCAGTCAAAATTATTTTTCCCTGAGACTGGGAGTGTAGCTCAGTTGCCTAGAATGAATGACCTAGGTTTTGTTCCCAGCATCAGAAAGAAAAGAAAGAAAGAAGGAAGGGAGGGAGGGAGGGAGGGAGGGAAGAATGAAGAAAGGAAGGAAGGAAGGAAAAGAAAACTTACTTTTTACATTTGTTATATTCTGAAAGAGGTCCAGAAAAAACAAAGTGTTCAGCTCAATTGATGGGGAAGGGTTTACAAAAGAGAACTATTCCAAAGTTCATATGTTAGCTATTTTAAGCAGTGTTGTTTGGAAGGAGCACTGGATTAGGAGTAAAGAAATTTAAGTTCTTGCTCTGGCTGTGAGTTGTAAACAAGTGCCATAAATTCCCTGAGACTTAGGAGGAAAAATTAAATTCTCATCCCCCATTCATATCTCTACCAATCCAGCAAGAGTGAAATGGAACGATATATGTAAAAGGCAAATTAATGGAAAGAATTGATTTTTCTCATTTCAGTGACTCTAGTCAACAAAAACTTTATTTTTGAAAAAAAATTTTTGAAAGTTTCTTATCCAGTCATGACCCTTATTCTACATTTCTGAATCAGACAATTAAAATTCTGCAAATCATGCTGTCTGGATAATTCAGATTGTGTTCAAAGTCCCAAGTTTTAAGACAAAGTGTTCAAATGCTTTTTTTTTTTTTTAAGTAGGCAGATGCGAATGGCCCACTTTAACTAGAAAGAGATCCTAAGATGGAAAGTGATCTCTCAGTCCCTGATAACAAATATTTCTGTCACTCTACAACATACGTAGGCATGAATTGCCTAGATAAAGGTGGACAAGATATTTTTTTCATTGGCTTATGAAAATATCACACCATATTATGGCTTCCTCCCCCGCACTCTCTACTAGCTTTGTAGGATTTATGAATTTTACCTAGCTCTGTGTGTCCGTATTTGTATGTGTGTGTCAGTGTGTGTGTTGAGTTTTGATACCTATCTCTTTGTGTGTTAGTGAACAGGGTAGAAAAATGCAGACAACAGACTAATAGGAGAGAAAACATCTCATGAATACACTGGGATACATTTAATATTATTGATGATATTCTATGATAAAACATAACCATGGGGTCAGGATTTATGTATTTATTTGTTTACTAAATTGATCACAGTTTCTGGTAGGAAAATTAAATGCAATTTAATGGCTAAGGATTTTGAACCTGATTTGGGTTGATATCTGTTTTTATTTTATATTTTAAAAAGGGAAAACAATTTGATTGGATCTAGGATTTGTTCAGAAACTTTGCTTACTAACTTAGCTAAATTTGTGGCCCTTTCCTAGGGAAATTGGCCTTCTGGTACATCCAGTTTAGTCTTATGCTAAGGTGGGAAGAGACTCAACATGGAGATTACATTTCTTCTAGAGATCAATTTCAAATTAAATATTTAAAAAAATATGTTGGTTAACAGATTCATAGCTACACTACCCCTTCAAGAGAGGTGGGGAATGCTTTCCTTTTTGCTTATTGTTCTGCTGGTATGTTATTGTCTGAATACTGAGAGCTAATAACCCTTCTTTGTACCATGAAGACAGCTTTTTATGAGCACTTGCTTTTTGTATTTTGTGGAATAAAAACATAACTTAATTTTAATTAGTATATTCACTGAAAAAGGTCAATCTAATGGAAACAGGGAAAGGGAGGGAAATCATAGAAAATAAAGCCAGCTTCTAAAGACTTTAGAGGAAAACTCATCAATTATAAAATAAAAAACCCAAACTAAGCATTTAATTGAAAAAAGTTCTTTATTTTCCTTCGTTCGCATTTGTAGTATGCGAAAGACAGCCCCATTTGAATTAGGGAAAAGTTATCCTTAGAAATGACTTCAGTGATTTGGCTCCATCTGTATTTCAAACGCATTAACTTCACACCATCCACAATGGGTAATAAAGATGCGCAGATTCGGGTCAAATTCATCCTTCTGAAAAACTGCAAATTAAGATGTTGATTATACACCACCGGCTGTCTTAATCATCGTGATCAAAATCCAAATATTAAGGAAAGGGGCCCTGGAGGGATGCGTTTGGGCTTTTGTCAAACCCTCCACCAAACTCTGAAGCCCAGCCTGTGCTTCTCCAAATCTTTTTCCGGGTAAGAGCCCCCATCAGCCTGCCTGGGCCTCAAAGTGATTCTCAAGAGTGGTTAGCGAGCCCCCCATCCCCCAAACCCAGACACACCCCGAGTCCCATGAACAATTCTGGGCTGTCAAAACACACGGCTGCGTGTTCAATCCCAATAACTAGCGGATGATTAATGAGCGGCTTGATAATTTAATATCGCATGTGATTAAATTATAAGGTGTGGGGGAGGGGAGCTCTGCACTATCTCGACCGCCCGGGCGGAAGCCGACCAGCCAGCGGGTCTGGGCTGCGCAGAGAGACGCGCTCTTCCTTTGCACAGTGCCTGGCTAGGCTGGGCAACCGCGAGTCTGCGCCTTCCCAAGGTCAGTGGGTCTGGGGAGGAGAGGGTGCATGGAGTGGGAGATGGGGGAAGCCGGAATGGCCAAGGGGAGGGGTAAGACACCGGACAGCTTGGGTTTGAGCCATAGAGCAGGGTGAGCCGCTGACTCTTCCCAAAGCGAAGGGAGACGAAGGGGCTGGAAAATGGCCCCAGACAGGGTGAGAGCCGATTTTTAAATTCCACTTCGCTCCACCACAGAGGCTTGAAGAATTTCAGGGACTCCGAGATCCCTGGGAAGAGGGGGCGTGTGGCTTGGCCCAACTGGGTCTTTTCCGGGTCCCCACTTCCCTGCGCACCTTCGACCAAGAGAGGGTTCTCTTGCAAACAGGGCCCAGGTGGTGGTCAGATTGGGTCACTCGAAGCCGCGTATATTCCGCAGTCCACGGACCCCCAACCCTATCTAGTGGCACGCGGGGTTCACTCCATCCTGGGTTCCGGTACGTTGTGGGGGAAAACTGGGGCGTATTAAGCAGCAGAAGAGCCCGAAGCTACGCAGAAGAGGAAAGATTACACTAGATGCAGGTTTCGTAGTTTCTAGCTCGACTCATTGGGGCAGAGGCGTATAACTGATGTACTGGAGGGACTCCTGGTCGTCGCTCTTTCCTCCCGAACGAGGAGTAGAGAACGAGTAGAGACTCGGGCGTGGCCACTCCTTCCCCTGGGAAAAAGTGTGAACGCAGAACCGCTCCAGGTAAAAGTACCTCGTTCGTAGTTTCACCTCGAACGAGGTAGGTGGCTGTGTACAGCGCCGGCTGGCTGTTCGCTGGGCACCGCAGCCTCAGAGCGGCACCTGAGAGGCCACTGCGGAACCCAGGAAAGATTTTAGGGCTTAACCTCCAGTCGGAGAAGGTAGGCCCCCCAGCAGGAGGGTCCCCGGAAGACCCTAGCAAACTGGACCCCCGGGGATTTCTCCAGACCCAGAGCTAGAGAGTGAAAATTAAAGATTCATCACCAGGGCCCCAGAGTAACCAGAGTCCAGGCCGTCCCCTGGTTGGATTTTCAGACGGGATATGGTATCCGGAAGGAGATGCCCGTGGACTGAAATCAGGGCCAGAGGCCCGAGAAAATGTCAGGAACAGCGCTCCTGAAGTCCTGGGCCTTTAGCTCCAGCTGCGATAGCCAAATCTTCTTCTGAGAAAGGGATGGCAACTTCCTAGGACCAGCTCCTTGGATATGCAGGAATGACCATTTCTTTGTCAGTTTCTTCAAATATTTGAAAATAGCACCAAGGAAGGAGGAAAATCATGAACAACCGAATGGGCTTGTAAATAGAGGTCATAGTATGGAGAAACACACACACACACACCTCCCAAAACACCCGAAAAGAACTGGATAAACTTGCCTACCTAGAGCAGAAACAAACCACACATTGATTTTAAGAGGCTCAGTTGAAATGCTCCAAATTAGCAAATCCAGGCTGTAGGCTGTGACTATAATTTCAGGATATTTGGTACACACAAAACTCTGGGGAAGGGGTAAAATCTGAAAGGGGACCAGAGGGGAAGATGCCCCGGAAGCCGTGCTGCGTTCCTGGACCGGGTGATTCTAAACTTGGATGTGCCTTTCTTTTAGGCCACCACTCCTACCGCATTGCCTGGGCCAACAGAATCCAAAGAGACCACTCCCCTCAAGGTACGTTAGTAATAATAAAAGAGGGTTTACCCGTAAGGCTTTTGCAAGCAATGGCCTCTGTAGCCAAAAATAATTTTAAGGAGAGGCGCCTGGGGTATTTCCTGTGTGCCCGCTGCTGGCGTTCGACCTAGGGTACTCACACTCCCCAAGGTCGACAGCAGGTTCCAGGGTGCCACTTTTGTCCCTGTTATTAAAGTAATTCCTTCAATTTACTCTTTGTCCGTGCTTCCAGACACAAGCTGATCTCCACATCTGGTTACCAAAAACATTGCGGGACCCGTGTCGGGCAACTTTAAAATTCCAGGGCCAATCTTTTTCTCCCAAAGATCCCACACACCTTAGAATAAATAACGTGTCTCTGGCAGACACAGTACCTTTCCCAGAAATTAAATTTGGGTTCTAGAAATCCGGACCAAGAAGGTCGTGGACGTTAAGTATGCACTTGCAAGAATTCCGAGTTCTCAATAAACATGTGGGTGGAGGGTAGGGGAGATGTGGGGCACCAAAATAGGGTTTTTATTTCCCAGATTACCGATAATCTGTTGATTAATCAAGACTAGGACACTAACGATTCCCAAAGTTGATAAAGGAGGAAGAGTGAGTTTTATTTTGTCATTCACATTAGCATTCATTTCTAATGATTTCGGACACCTGTAAAATGATATCGAAATCAGTGGTGCAATGGATGGCATTGTTCGACGTTGCCAGGACGAGAGAGGTGCGCGAGTTGGCGCGCATTGATTTCACCCTTCACTCTCCGCCCTGCTGCCGAACACCATTTAGGCCAAGATCGGGTATAATGGGAAACACCATCAGCAGACAATTACCCTTTCAGAGGATTCACTTCTCCTCACAGACACTGTTATTTGAGAAATAGGATCATTTGATTTCATATTGCACTAAATAACACCCAGCCGGTTCAAATTGCCAGCTTCTTAAAAACCGCCCATTGGAATAAATTGCAGCGGCCTCTTTTGCTTTTCAGGGCAATACGATGGGCACCGGGCAGAACTTGTAAAAATAACTACAAAGTCACTACAGAGTCGTTGCTATTGATGAGAATAGCTCTGCCACCCCTCAGGCAAAGGCATCCAGCTACCCTGCTACCGCCCCCTCCACCCGTCAACTTTGGATGGTTCAACCACTTGGCTTTGGCATTAAAACGTACAATTCCAGCCACCCGGAGGAAGCGCTTCAAGCCACAAGTCGCAGAGCAAAGAAAGATGAGCAAGAGACACAAATTTCTCTCTCTCTCTCTTTTTTTTTTTTTTTTCTTTTTTAAATTGCCTGCAGGATTCGCATATTCGGAGACCGCTGCGGATTTGGGGAGCTGCGGCCCTGGCGTGCGCCGAGTTCAAGGGTCTCTGGTTCTTAGCTCAGAGTGTCCGGCGGCCACAGAACCGCGCGGGTCCAGTCGTCGCGCCCTGCTTACTGGTGCGCCCTCAAAGTCTGCCAAGGCGTGGCGCCCATTTTTGCTCTCACAACTGGCGCCAAGCCGAGAGCCGGGGCTCCAAGGGTCGGACCAAGGGGGCAGAAGGAGGAGGGAGCAGCATTCCGGTATTAGCGCCAAGTCGAGAAAGAAAGAAAAGAAGGCGAGCAGCGAGCTGCAGTTTGCTGCACACCCGCCACCAGAGACATTTCAGACAGAATTAAGCCTTTTGAAGTCGACCACTTACTGTGGTTTAATTGACACTGTTCAACTGAGTGACAATTGTTCAGTTGGATGGGGGCGATACACTCCCCGCTTATTTTTTAATACGCAAAATAAGATTTGACGCCTTGGTTCTTGGTTCTTTTGTGACAAGGGGCGGGGTGTATTTACGACCGCCAAATCTGTCGTTGAAGTACCCCCGCCCTATTCCCCTCCCTCCCGTTTCCGTTAAGTCTTTATTATATTTGTGTTAATGCACTTCAGGAAGGCCTTGTAAGAAACTCCCTCTCCTAAGGAAATTGAAGGCCAGATGCTGGAGCCTCACCGGTGTACCCCTATTTGGGGGCAAGAGCTGGAAGCACCCTTTTACCGGGTCTAGAGAACTGGAGCTTGTTAGTCTAGGCGTTTGGGGACAAGGTGGGAGACTTTCCCCTTCTTTGGCACTGGGAGGAGCCAGGGAGCAGGGAGTTTTGTGAGCCCAGAGGGAAGGTCCGTGAGCGACCAAGTTGCCCTTTCTTGGATAGGCACAGGCTTTGGCTCTGGGGCAAGGTCGAAGGTTGCTGGGCAGACGTAGGCGCTGTCCAACAGGGGAGGGGGGATGAGGAGCAGAAGGTTTCAGCATGCCTTCATTCACCACTAGTCCTTGTCTTGCGGACCCTAGCTGCTACTCTCTGTAGCGTTTCTCCAGGACACCCTTCTACCCCGCAGATAAGAGCCTATCCACAAGGCCCAAGTGTACCCAAGCCAAAATCTGGGCCACGGGCTTTGGCGCTTCACTCTAGATCTGGGGAGAACTCCACGAAGCCCAATTTCCCACCCCACCAAATCTGCTCCTGCTGTCCAAATCCAAGGCAGCCTGTGACTGACTGTCCAACAGAGCCCAGGGAGAGCCCCGGAGTCTGCTCCATTCCCTCGGTAACCCAAGGCTGTGGTGCCTTCACCTAACGCCACACTCCGCCCACCTGCGTGCCTCCAGCGGCGCCCGCACGCAGTGAGGGCGCTCCCTTTTAACTCTCCATCTCCTCCTGGTGGAGGGTGCAACCGAAGAACCCTTTCTTGCCGAGTACTAAACCCAAACAGGCGGCTTTTCCAAGATGCCAGGAACAGAATGGTTAAATTCGAAGTTCGAGAAAACTGCTCTGCTCCAAAGTTCACTGCCCTTGCGAACCAAACCGCAGAGCTACTGATTGAATGGCCGCGCCGCCAACGTAGCGACTCTGACTTGGGTCCGGAGCCCGCGGGTTGGCGGAGGCTGCTATGCCAGCGGGCTGCTCCCCTGAGGACACCAGAGGAGACTCCAGGGACTGCGTGGGTGGGCCTTTCCCTCCGCGCGCGCCTCCTTCGCGGCCGGAACCCCAGCAACGCGTTAAATTAGGGTCGAACTCCAGCACTGGGTGGGGGAATCTTGTGTCCGCCCCGTGCAGGCCTGGGAGTCCTAAGTTAGGGCAGTGAGAGCCAGTTGGTGCGGCTCCTGTCTGCTCCGGCCACCAGCGTCGGCGGTGGCTGGCAGGTCAGCCCTTTTGCCCACTGTTCTGCCCCCACCCTCGATCACGTTGCCGAGCGGGTCCCCACGCTACCCTCCTTCGCCCGCGCTCCCTCCAAGTCGCCGAGTTTACCAGCGCGTTTTGTTCCCGTTTCGGATTCCTGGCCGAGGGGCAGTAACCGCTCTCTTCTCGGACGGACGCTAATCAAGTAATTTCCCCATCCCAGCCCCATCAAATTGCTCTTTAGCTGTTGAACCGCGGAGTTTTGCTCGCCTTTTCACATGCTAATCACGCCCATTCAGCGGCTCTCGGTGGGGCTGTTTGTCGCGGGATAAATCTCCTTGTTTGCCCGCTGCATGATTAATTGATATTGTTGTCTGGCTTTTGTGGGGACCGCGAGGAGCTGAAAGGCGGCGCGTCGTGACTGCGCTGGGGGCCGCTGGCGACCTCCTCGGGCTGCTGAGGTCCCGGCGAGGTCGGGCCGGGACTGATGACATTATGCGCCCGATTTGGTTTCCCTTATTAGAAAGATGATGAAAGACTTGGAAACCCCAGTCTTAGAACTCACCACCCGGGCGTAGAAACCGCATAGCGTTAAGCCACAAATTCAGACAAAGCACGGGCGTTTGCTCAATTTAGGGAAACGAGTGGGTGTCACTTCTCCACGCAGGAGACAATTAAATCTTATTTCGGCCCACCCGGGTTTTCAGTAGAATTGAACATGAAGCTGCAGAGTAGTTTGTTTTTTCAAACAAAGAACAGCAACAACATTTTTTGTTGGTTCCAGGTTGTAAAGGCTGGTTAAAACCCTTAAAAGGAAAGTAAATGGAAGTCAGTGTTCCGATAGAGACCTTGTAGGCAACGGTAGAGGAAAGCCATGCAAAGGTGCTTCCAGGTTGGACCCTGAGCTTTTCGGTTTGCCAAAACGCGCAGTATTAATTGGTGTCGCCAGCCACCGTGAAGCCCCGCGCTAACGCAAACTGGCGCTATCACTAAGACGCGAGTCCGCCTGTAAGCCCATGTTTATTTGACTTCACCGGTCCCTTTTCTTTGCTGCATTTTCCCGCAGTCCTCAGGTGTTCAGTCAAACCAACAAATTCCTCCTTCCCCTGCACCCCTCCCGCCTTCTCCCCGGTACCCTGGGGTTTTATCCTCCACGGTCGTCCCAGAAAACTAGGAGATTCAATTAAACAATTCCAGTTACGCGGTGCTCCTACTGCCTGCTTATTGCAAATATTTCCTTTTTTCGAGTTCTTAAAAAAAAAAAAAAAAAAAGCAAAGAGAAGAAAAGAAACTGTCGCCTTCGCTTTCACTGAGCGCGGGGTAATTGATAGGCGCCATCAGAGGTCAGAATTTGCATAAGAATTAAGAGCAGTAAATTAATTTAATATTCCGTGCACATCTCCAATTATTCCTGGAGACCTTTGTCTCCACGGCTGCCAGAGAGGGGATTCAGCTGCTCTTCAACCAAACAACATCTGTGCGGTTAATAATTTGATAAACAGCTCATACAAATAGTTTCTGAATTATCTGGCAGCCCAATGACTATTCAGTTTGGAAACGTTTTGGCAGGGTCTCCCGGAGTCCTCTGAGGGCCGTAGGCACCCGCCCTAACAAATGTCTTCTTATCTTTTAAACATCAACAGACGACAATGTGTAAAATAAGCCATTATCATTAAGTAATAACCCTAACCCTTAAATAAAAAATCCACTGGGGTCATCAAGGTGGTGCAGGTCCTCTGTTAGAGACTCTGAGATGCATAAACAGGCTGGGCAGTGGAGCTGAATGAAGAACAACCTGCTAGGAAGGAAAGACCTGGGTGTTGTGGGGAGGGCTGTTTTATGATTTTTTTTTTTTTAACTCTTGAAATTGAGTGACTGGACTTGTGCTTGGAAAAATCTGCAAGGAAGGGCTCTGGGGGAGCTACTGGAAGGGAGCCAAGGTAGTGGGCTAGAGGGAGACCAATTTTTCACTGTATTGATTCTTGTACCTTTCACTTTTCTCCCTATATGCAGGTATTATTTATTCCAAAAATAAATATGTAAAAATAAGTTGAATCACCATAAAACAGGGGTAAGTTATTTTGGGTGGGAGTAGTCCTTAATTGACTTGTCCTCTTTGACAGGGCTACCTTCCTTCCTACCTTCACCCCAAGATGATCCACCCTCATCCTAAAAGCAGCTTCCCACAAAGCATAAATATGTGGGAAGACATATGGAGAGGGCACACATTTTCCTACACTTCAGCCAAAATATTGTGTTGTCCCAAATAGGGAAGGAGCACTTGTAGAATGATGCTGTCCTGTGTCCAAACAGGCCCAAATTTAGATACTTCCCCCTTGCTATCCTTCTTTATTTGAAGATTTTGTGACATCGATTATGGTCTTGTATATTTCTGACACCCGTAGCAGAGCCTGTTCCTAATAGGAAGTCTAGAAAGGAACCATTTGATTTTGAATGAGATTCAGACTGCTCAAATTCTTGCATTCTGCACATTGCAGCTCTGTGGACTACAAATCTGTGTTTACCCTGGAATTGTTCTGCAGCGACTTCAATATAACAGAATGTTGGAAGAGGGTCTTTATCTCTCTGTCTATGCATTCCCACATGTTTGATGTACACACCTCATGCATTCAATATTCTACTTTCTATTTCCTATACTGCTGACAATCTAAGTACTTGAAGCCACTGAAAACTACCCAGAAGTTCTGAGTAGGGTCGAAGCAGTAATATGATAGAGTTTTGTCCTTGTACTCTAATGAGCCCTGGTAGCATCAAGCTTTAAAGATAGGCAAACCCTTCAGTCTATAGGTCTAAATATACAACTTTACAATGAATACAAGCTTGCCTGGACTCAATTGAAGAATTACTTTTCCAGGAAACAACTCATTGTGTGATACAAATAGGACAATAGCATTTCTACTAGGCATATTCATTTCTATATTTAACATTTTCTTCTTGCATTTCATTAGATTTTTCCCCATAGAACTATAGACACCGCCAGGCCTTGTAGGCTTTTATATGCATACAAATCATCTCTGTTATTTATGATGGGGGGGTCCGTCTGCATCCTTTTATTAATTTCTGACTTTCATTCAGACTTCTCTAGTCAGCAGAGTGATTTGAAAACATTTCTTTTCTTAAATGGAACATTATCAATTCTTTTGGGAGCCATTCTAATTTTAAACACCAACATATTCAGTTTCTTAATCTGCAGCTCTGGTGTTACTCATTTTTATGCACACAACCTACCCCCTTTGGCGGTAGTTCGTTTATGCTCCATATTTATCTTCTTTACATTTGTTTGACTATTTTTCAAAGCAGTATATGGGCAGAAAATGGCTATTAAACAAGAAGGCAGGGAACTCTGATTATATTTTTGACTGTGTAAGTAAAATCACTGAACATGAAAATTTTGAGATTTTTTTTTCTACTAATGAGCCCTCTCCAGAAAAGCCGTCTGGATACCATTAAAGTTGATGAGTTTAGAAGGATTATCCTGATAAATGCTTGGCTTTTTGGTGATTAGACACATATTTTCAAAACAGTCTACTGAGCTAAGATCTACATTTGGAAGGAATCTTCTGGTTATACTCATTTATTGACTATACTCATTTACTGAATATAACCAGAAATTGTTGGATTAAAAAATCCAGAGTACTGTCTTTGCATATAGGGTTCAATAGAGGAAACTCCTACTCATGTTCACATGCAATAAAAACATTGGGAATATAATAATAGGTGGTATTCAATAATGATACAAGCCATGGTGATTTCCAACATATCTATAAAAGATGCATAACCTTTTATCTTGGGGAAAGTTAAAGAAGGGCCATAGGACAGAATAATGATCTAAAGACTCAGTGTAATCTCTATTAGGGTAAAATTTCTCTCCCCTTCCCCTCCCTGGTGCTGGGGATTAAAGCCAGGGCCCTGGGTCGTGTGCATAAATGCTCTACCATGAGCTACACCCCTGGCCCCCCCAATTTTTTTTTTAATTTGAGAGATATGAACAATGCAGAGCTATTAAACAAATTCTCCCAATTCATTTACTCCCACTGTCTTTAAAAAATACAGTATATATATATATATATATATATATATATATATATATATGTGTGTGTGTGTGTGTGTGTGTGTGTGTGTGTGTATCCAGTTTAAATCCAACTCTATAAAATATTGAATTAGAAAAATAGGTTAGCAAGTAAAAGTTATGAATAGGGTTCTCTTAGATAAACCTGTTTGCTCTCATTTTCCTTTGTTTTAATATTTAAATGAACTGTGCTTAGTCTTCTAGCATTCCCCACCCCAGATACTGGGTTCAAAAAGGAGCAGCTGTGTTGGTTTGTAGAAGATAATTGGAAACTACAGAAACAAGACCAGTTTCTTCAGATATGACTGTAAGATGTCCCTTTACAACATGGATGTCAGTGAGCCTCCTGGTTCTTTCCTCTCCCACTCTTAGCCAGGATTACAATCAGTCAGGCTGAACTTCATATAACTTCAGGGGAACCCTACACACTATTGTCACTATAGATTGTATGTTTTGTAAGACACTCTTCTGAACAAAGCAGTACAGATGTCATTTTAAAATCTGTAGAAGGGACAACATGGGCCAGCAAAGAAACTGGCTAGCTCTATTAAAAAAAAAAAAAAAAAGGGACACAGGTAATAGTGCAGTGCCCCGCCTTCCTCCACCAATGCATCTCCCCCCCGCCCCCTTGTACCAGGGATTGAACTCAGGGGCACATCCTCAGACCTTTTTTTGTGTGTTTTTATTTAGAGATAGGGTCTCTTTGAGTTGCTAAGTGCCTTGCTAAATTACTCAGACTGGCTTTGAATTCCCAATCCTTCTGCCTCAGCCTCCAGAGCCTCTGGGATTACAGGCATGGCCACCATGCCCAGCACCAATGCATCTTAATTAAGCTTCTCCAGGGACCCTCTCCACAATTGTTCTTGTTAACAAAATATCAGCAAAGATCTCTGAAAAAAAGGGCTGGATGTGGTTGGACATCCTGTTTCCTGTTGCTCGGCTCTGTCTTGCAAAAACTAAATTTAACCACTGATTTGATGGTTGTTACTCTGCTTTTGTGGTATAACCTGTAAAACCCCTGACTGTTCTAAGAAATGGGGCAAAAAGCACTTTCTGAGAACTCAAAAGAAAAAAAAAAACTACTTTTATGTAGACTTCTGCAAAAATGTGAAACATCAAGTCTTCTCCCTGCCCCTACTGGGTATAAAGTTCAAAGAATTTCTAGATTTTTGGTCCAGAGGAGAATTTCAGGCATTAGTGCTCTCTGGACCAGCCAGCTGCAGCCAATAAACCTTCTTCCTGAAAATTCTGTCCTACTTCAATAGGGACGGTGTGCCTCCTATGCTATTTGCTTTGGCCAGAAAGTTTAATCCAATAGACTCAACAACATGCATTTGAGACCTACTGTCTGATTGGAACCAAAGTGAAAATAGAAGGTCAAAAACGGTGGTGGGCAGAAAAACTGCAGGCATTTGGGTAGTCACCTAATGTCCCAGTGTTGCACACTTCTGTCTACCACTTTTCACCAATTTTTTTCTTGTTGTACCTATGGCTCCTCAGCTGAACAACATTTCCCAGCCTCCTTGGCAGTTATATGTGGCTCATGTGCTTAAGTTCTTACCAATGGCATGCAAGCAGAAGTGATGTGACTACTTACTATCTTATAGTTGTAACTTTCTTTTCTTTCTAGTTTTCTGGGGATGATGCTAACCCAAGTCATGTATTGAGGATGGCAAAACTTCCCAGAATGGCCTGGGCTGCCAAGACGACTTCCTAGAGCAGAGCCTGCCCTCCCACTCTGGACTGTAATATGGAGACAAGTAAATTTCTATTTTGGTTGAAAATCTCATATTTTGGTTCATTTTATTACAGCACCCACTCAAAGTAATCTACCTCCTGGCTTAATTTTTTTCGTAAATGTAAAATAAAAACATCTTAGTTTGGGTTTCTCCAAAAGCAAATAGTGTTTTGGAAGGTGATCTCAAAAAATACCAGTAGGGTTGAGAGAAAAAGAAGGGAAGGCAGCCATTAAAGTGGATCATACAGCAAATTACCACTCTGGGCAATTGGAATTTGATTCTATGCAGGAACTCTGAGAAACAATATAAAACAGTTGCCTTATGGTGAATCCATTTGAGCTGGGATATTTATACATGACTCCCCTCAGTCATTAACTGAAGGCTATTCTTTGCAAGTATGTCTTCCCCAGCACTTCCCCAGCCTGTTGCATAGACAGAATGAACTTCAGGGGTCAACAAATCAAAACACCAAAAAACAAAGCCAAATATAAAACCTCCCAAGCCATGAAATGCAGGTGCTCATGGTTGGACATTGACTGATATATCCTGATGTATAAGGGACAGGACATTGACAGCACCTACTACAGAGGGCACAAGATGGATAGTCTTGAAGATCTCTTTCCTGCATTAAAGTTATTTGGGCTCAATTTATCAATCTATATTCTTCTACTTGCTCATCTGAAATGCCTGTTCTAGCCAGATTGGTTTACTCAATTTCAAGCTCCCCAAATACCATATGAATTAATTTTTATTTTATTTATGCCATTTTTTAATGTGGAAAGCAGCTTATCACTCTTATATTTCCTTTAATCTTTCCTCTATCATGTATCTGTTGCTGCTTAGTCAACCACTCCATAATTTAGTGGTCACAATTCTGAGGGTCAAGAATTCATACAGGACTTTCTGGGCAAAATGAGTCAGCTGGGTTCATTCATGTGGAAATTCTAAGATAGTCTCTCATTTCCCAGGGCCTATATTCATGTGGCCTTTAATCATTCCACAGCCTAGCTTAGACTTCTCTAAGCATGACAACTGGGCTTTAAGAAGGAAGCAGTGGAATTTGCTAGTCCTTTTAAGACCTGTGTAACCAAAAAATCCCAGAATGTCACTGTGGTCTCATTTTATTGGTCAAAGCAAGTCATAAGTTTGGGCCACATTCAAGGAGGAGGGGAAATAGTTCTCCTTCTCTTAGTAGAAAAAGTTTCATGGGATGGAAGGAACTGACAGAGGCCATATTTCGATACTGTCACATTTATTTACCCCTCTTTCTTCTCATTCAATTCCCCAAGACAAATTTTTATCCTACTTTATATAGAAATTTTTCTTGTATTTCTTTCTTTCTTTTTTTTAAAACTGGGGGTTGAACCCAGGGGCACTTAACCACTGAGCCCACATTCCCAGCCCTTTTTTATATTTTATTTTGAGACAGGGTGTCACCAAGTTGCTCAGGCCTTGCTAAGTTGATGAGGCTGGTTTTGAACTTGTGATTCTTCCGCCTCAGCCTCCCAAGCAGCTGGGATTATAGGCATGCACCATCATGCCCAGCTAGGAAACCTTTTTTTTTTTATAAGCTAGTCCAAAGGGATCTTCTATTTCTTCTCCTGCTCAAAATCCTGGGCCATCTTTTATTATACATACTTTCTATTTTTTCCTTAATCATTTAGTGTTGTGTGACACTCTATTGATGCCTCTTCTTAGCTCCTTAAGGACAGAAAATTCAGGTTAGAGATTGAAGAACCCTTGAAATGGTTTGGAGCACATGATAGCCCTTTTTTTGGGGGGGGGGTGCTGGCGATTGAACCCAGGACCTTGTGCAACTGAGCTATATCCCCAGCCCACATGGTAGACTCTTAAGGCATATATATGCCAAGACATTGGCCATAGTAAGAGCTGAGGGAGAAAGTAACCAGCAAGCATATGCCCCTGTGTTAATACCTAGATTAGTAGATCTCATTTCTAGTATGTTTATCTAGAATCCTCAATTACATATTCTGAAAACCAAATATTTCTGAAATCTTCCCAGCCTAAGTGAGACTCAGGTGACAGACATATCTACCTGCAGGAATGTCCACATTTGTGAATGGAATGAATTGCCAGGAAGGCTCAAATTCCATCCCTCCTCCCATGATGTACTATTGCCTACTTTTAAAATGTGACTACTACCTGTTGGCAGTGAAATTGGAAAAGAAAGGGTATGAATTTGGATCTGCATCTTAGTGCAAATTAACTGATGAGAACAGTGTTTCTTTTTCTCTCACAGAAGAAGCTGGAGCAGCATAGATGCACTGGAAGATTAGAGATCCATAATACTGAAGAAAGTGAACTGAGGAGGGATCTCTGTGGATGAGTCATCTGTCTTCACTTCAGCTAGACCAGTGATACAGGAGGTGATGCCAAATTATGCATTATACTGGGCATTAGAAAGTGGCTATCATTCTCAGGGACAGCAGAGAAAAATGGAACCATGAGTCAAGGGAAGATTCCAGAACCTATGCATGGGTTTGCAGTCAGTGGATGGATATCTCTCAAGTCTTTGGAATCCTGTCTCCTGTGTTGTGATTTGACTCTTAATCATTAATTTTCTAAAGGCCAAGTAAGCTTGTAGGATGATGGGCCATTATGAACCCCCGAAAATGCGTTTTGTTAAGTGTTTTTGTTTGTTTTGTTTTAGTAGAACCCTAAAGGAAGATTGGTGGACAACCAGGATGAATAGAAGAGAAAAAGACTGACAAGACTTCCTCAATTGCTCCTACTGATTAGTGGGGACCATTTCTATAACTCCTTGAACCTATTCTCCCTGCAACTCTGATCCCGATTTTTTATTAAATGGCTAAATTGCCCTTTTAGATCAAAACTTTCTTCACTATATCAATCAAAGAAGGCTGACTTCAGCCTATGTCATTGTTAAGGATATTGAATGTATCAAAGATGATGGTTTTGTCCTATTCATTATCCCAACTAGTAACTCTTTGTGCATCAGTGGCTGGCATTCAGAAATGCTTTTTTCTGGGTCCTTTCTTACTTTTTTTTTTTTTTTGGCAGTAATGAGAATTGAACCCAGGGCCTCATGCATGCTTGGTAGGCACTCTACCATTGAGCTATATCCCTAGTCTCCTAGGTTCTTGGAAATTTGTAATTGATGTTCTGTTCTAGAGGAGGCAGAATAGAACATGGGCTGTGCCATGGGTCACACCTGTGTTTAGATTCTGCTTGTGTCACTAGCCATGTGACCTTGAGAACACTGGAAAAGCTCTATTAGATTTGTGAAAACTTTTTCTCATTTGTAAAATGAGAATAGCAATATCTAAGTCACACGGATATTGTGAGAAATCCATAAATAAATGTATGCTAAGTTTCTAGAAAGGTCTCTAGCACAAAGTTGTATTTAATAAGTAAATGTATGTAAAATTTCTAGAAAATTCCCTGAAACAAAATTGTACTTAATAAATGACTTTTAAATCAAGGTACTTTTTTAAAGTTATTATTTTACCATATCATTGTACTTGCAGACTGTTGTATGCATTTCCATTACTCATCAGAAAATATAAGTAGGTACCTGAGACTTCTAAAAATGAGAAGAAGGCCAGAGAATCTGGGATTACTGGCCATTCTGTTAATTGAGAAAAATATTTTGGTACCAGTTTGGGGATCCATAAAGAAAATGAGGTGTTAAATATATAACAGAGTTGAGTTCTCTTTTATGGTTGAAATAACAGATGAGCTGGTTGTAAAAACTAGCAAAAGCTTCTGGATGGAAGTTTCTGCCTAGAACATTCAATCCTAAATGGCCTGTGGATCAGACATTGCTACTGTGACATCGTTACACTCTAAGTTTGTAAAGACTTAAAAGACATTCCTTTTTGATGACTCCTAGGTATTGAGAGTCATCCTTTTTTTTTATTCTGAGTCCCAGTCACATTGAGACTTACTCCTCAGATGGGAACCTCTGTAAACAGACCCTCTTGTTCCATCTTTATCCCTTGACCAAACTTCTCCACGGGCAATTATGTCTCCAAAAATAAACCCAGAGTAATCCTTCCAATCATCTTCCTCTCTTCCAAAGGCTATTTGTTGGTTGATGATACTACATAATCTGCAGTGCCCTCAAACACTTGGTGGAGCAAACATCTCTCCATTGACTCCAATTTAGCTGAAGCACCTGATAAGGGGGTCTTTATTTATTCTTTTTAGTCAGTCATTTGTCAGAAAGCCAGGACTGAGGAATTTCAGAAAGAATAACTCAGTGACTTTGCAAAATGCCTGTGTAAAAATTGAAAGAAAAAACATGCCTGGAGAAAATTAAAGATTATTACCACACAAATCTGGGAAAATTCTGAAAATAAATATACTACAGGTGTCATCTTTCCGATGGCAACCAGAAGTAAAAGTGAAATGGCCCCTCTTTTAAGATACAGTTAAGAAGGGACACAAATGTTTGGGGCAATCATTAAACCTACTCCACCAACATTCATGAAAACAAGTGAAAGTTGTCAATTCGCAGCACTGTTACAGTCATGTCAGTACTGCTCAGTGGAGGGATATGTAAATCAGGTTTGGTTAATCAGTGCACTCAGTTCCAAAGGATGGCTTTATCTTTCCTCTTTTGGGGGTGGAGGGTTTGCACAATCTCTTTACTGAGTTTTTAATCGAGTTGCTATTCTACTCTTCCTTTTATGGAGCCATAGAAGTGTCTGTAATGAAAGATTAAAATGGTCCTGTGCAGTGGTTTGCAGTGGCCTGCCCAAATAAAATATGACGGCTCTTGCATAGGGCCTATATGTAAGCAGAGGGGCTTGGGAACAAGCTGTATCACACTCTGCTGTGCATACTGATTGCAAATTGTGTGGGTTATTCTGGATGCAATAAAAGATGCAGGTGGTTGTGTGTGTGTGTGTGTGTGTGTGTGTGTGTGTGTGTGTGAGAGAGAGAGAGAGAGAGAGAGAGAGAGAGAGAGAAAGGATTTCTTTCCCCCAAATGATTATGAACCTCATGCATAGTAAGTAATGGAGCAATGATGCTCAGATTTCCTGTAACAGAGGTAACTAATACACACACACACACACACACACACACACACACACACATTTACACACACTGACAGGCTAATGGCTACTTTCCCAAAGAGTGGTTAGAAAGAAGTAGTAAATGGGACTGTGTTGATGCCAGGAGAAGACCTGGGCAAAGATCAAGATACCCAGCAACATATCGGATAACACATAATTGGCGGGTCACAGCCAAATGAGTGTAGTCACGCATCTCCGGGCAGGCCTTTGCCGGCGATAAAGACACTTGTAAACAATTCAGTCCCAGAACATGGCAATAATATGTTGATCCGGCGTGTAATGAGGTGTTCCTGGAATCAATAAGCAGTCATGGAGAGCAGGGAGCAAGGGCAGCGGCTGTCTTTTTGATGACCTTTCCTCACCACTGAGGACCTCATCTCCCCTGAAGAGGACTTTTCTCATTTTGCAGCAAGCTCGGAGCGTCAGAACTTCCATTCGCAGCCAGCAAATGAACAGCCAGGCCCTGCATGCTAATGAAGTCCAGGCTATTTTGCACCTTTTCATCCGCACATTATGCTCTTGACTCTGGAGAAGGTGGGAATTAGGCCGGACCCCGGTGTCAGACTGCCTGATGGCTCGGCTCCGGAAAACTGGTAATTGAAGCTGATGACTGATGCGAGGGAGGCCTGAATTTGGAAATAAACAGTTTCAAGCACTGCATGTCATTTCTAGAGAGACTGCTGAGAGAATGGAAATGAGCTCCGTTTCTTGAATCTAATGCAGTTTCTCAGCAGGAAAAACACCGTCTTTTAGACAACAATGCCAGTCATTAAGATTTAAATGTTCTGGCGATAATAGACGAACTGGCCTTCATGTTCACAAACAGCACTTATGTAAATGTCTTTCAACACCCAGATCTACACTTAATCCACGCCCAAGAAGAGAACTGTGTGGGAAAGCAGAACGGAATGCAATTCAGAGTCTATAAATATCGTTCATAAGGAGAGAGAGGAAAACAGTAAAATTGTTTGCTAACGTGTCATATTGCATTGCCTGTCAGTGCCCATGAAAGCAGCAACTCTCTGTTGAAACAATGGAAGGACATTCAGAAGTCTGCAGAAAAGCATCCAGAAGCCCCACTTTTGCAGATCATTTTTGCATTGCTGAATTTCATTCCAAATGACTAACATACCACCCTTCTTACATGGAAATGACAAGAATACTCTGCACCTATATGCAGAATCTATATCTGGACAGTAAATCTCCATGTTTAATGTAGCAGAAGCTCAAATCTGGACTTCCTATAATCAATTATTTAGTTTTCTCTTAATAACACTACTAGATTGTCACAAGACCCCAGACCAAACCCAGCAAGCTGTTTTAGTCCAGTCTCCCCTGTTAGCTGAGATGAGTTGGACATTGCTATATGCAAAAAGAAGGGCTCATAACCGAAACACTGGCTTTTGTGCTTTAAGAGGCCTTAAAAATCATTTTTTTACTATACATCCCTCCAGCCCAGTTCTTTCCATGCAGGTGAAACACCTTCAGGGAGAAAATTACGAGCCTGATGAAGAGAGAGCGAGACCACTGTTATTTATCATGGCAGGCTGGGAGTGATTCATGAATAACCATCCTTTGCTCTTTCCTCGCTTCCCTTCCCTACCAGAAGTGAGGTTTAGATATTTCAGGCCTTTTTCAATTTAATGGTGACATCCAGGATTCTCACAGGCAGTGTCTGGTTTGTTAGAAGCATCAAGGATATGAGCACAACTTGAGAGACACCGAAGGAGGCTTGGGTGTTATTGTCACTTTGGTTTAAAGGTAGCAAACCTATCTTGCAAAGGATCAACACTGAATTATTTCAACATTTCAAAACTATAGATAAGTAATGCATTTCTAATAGCATACTTGTGGATACTAGATAGATCAATGAATATTCAGCAATTCTTTGCATGAAATATATGAAACTCAATGAGAAATAGGTTAAATCTCAAGTGCATACAGGCATGCACACACACACACACACACACAAACACACAGTAGAGAAGCACACCTGCCCTTCACTGTGACAATGTTGCTCCATTCTGACTTTATTCTTGTGTCTCATGGGATCTCCCATGACATAATGGCTAAAAAAGAGGGAGAAAATTGGGGTCACTAAAATCTGATAATGATAACTACAGGCTCTCTCTGTGCATGGGGACACATACACTAGGAATTCAATATTCATATAATGATTCCTTCCATGTTCAGAGCAGCATTGATTTTTCTCAAAAAAGCTTTTATTTGTATTTTGTCACTGCACTTCTATTGTAAGCCTATGGCACAAGGATCAATTTTATTAACATGTAAGAAAAGGGAGACAGAGAGGAATGATGTGATTTAAAAAAAATAAGATCAACAGAAAACACAAAGGTGAAGCCAGTGGTGATCCTGGTGAAACCAGGATCAGAACTTTTTGTTTTCAACATTTGTCATATTTTTTTTCCTATAAGTCCACACTCATTGGTGCAGATACTATCAGTAAAGACAGTTATGCAGTGTTAGCTACTTCTCCTTTCATCTTTCACAAGCACTACCTCTTCTATTGCTGTTGGGAAGTTGAAATTATTCTTACTTGGAGTTAAAACTTGCAACTCCAATTGTCTTGAAAAAGAATAGTCAGAGCAAGAATTTTCCAGTTTTTATTGGCCACTGATAGAGACTTGAATTAGTAATATCATCCCTTTTGAATGGTAACTATTTCTTGGGTAAGATAAAGTAACTCAATATAGTTTAAGGGTCAAGGACATGGGCTTAGCTTTGGTTCAAATCCTGGCTCTAACACTGCATCAGTTGTAAAAGAAAAGCAGAGTAGGTTTGTTCATATAACCAGAATTCCAGAAGTGGGTACTCTAGGATGGAAGAGAATAGGACATTGATGCTATCAATGTCCCTGGTTCCTTTGGATTCTCTACTTCACCTCTTTTATAATCTTAGTTCCATTTCAAGATTGCCTCATGGTCCTACCATGGCTGCTGCAGCTTTAGTCATTTCATTTGAAGGAGGGAGGAAGACAGAAGGATAGAAAGGTGAAAGAGCCAGACCAGTCATCATTCCCTTAAAGGAGGTTCATGGGGAATAGCTCCACCTTTCCCCTTGTTAAGAACTTAGTCATATAGCTATTTCTACCTAGAAGGAGGCTGAGAACTGTGAATTTGAGGGTGGACATGTTGCTGCTCCTACCACAATTGAGTTTTTCTTTTTCTTAACTAAACAAGAAGAGAACAGATATTGTGGAATTTGCAGGAAGAATTTGCTGCCACGAACAGTAAATGTGTGAATTTAAGTTCATCATTTAACTTTCAAGTCTCAATTTATTCATTTGTCACATGGGAAAAATAATAGCTCTTTCCCCACTACTATACCAGGGAT